GAAGCTTTTGTGTGAATTATTCCTCCTTCCTTCAGCTTCTGACTATGACATTAATGGCTATGAAAATTTACCTTTGATCTACAATTCGAGGAGGATTTACTTCATTGTTCCTACCAGGATAGAAGTATGATTGTATATCTTTCTTAGCCCATTAAAACAACAACAACAACAGAATCTTTGATGTAATACCCGAACATCTAAAAAGTGCTTCGTTTCAAAGCAAACTTGAAAGAGATTTAGCACACAATTTTTCAAGATCCTGAACACATCCAGTTATATTTGGATATTATGGAAGGGAAGGTGTTCACTTTCCTGTAGCAAGAGTTTCTAGATACTTTTTTTCTTTAGCTGGCCACAAAACAAACCTAAAGAAATCATTATTACATTGTGTCTTTTGTCCTCTGTGCACCTTTCTTCCTCTTCTTCACCAAGATACCCTCACTGGTTCCTTTCTCTGGCTACCTCCTGCACTTACAGCCTTTGAAAAACTAAATCTTGCCGGTGGCAGACATTTGGTGTTTTTGCTTTTTGGTTGCTTGCATGTGGGAAAGATGAAACTCTTTAGGTCAATGGTACAGTATCAGATCATTCCCCAACATAATCTGAGTTCTACATATCTCTTAGAACATTTGGGAAGACAACATGATATGGTGGAATGGAACATGAGCAGAAATTAAGCAGACTTGGGTCCAAATTCTAGCTTTACCTCTTACCTCTGTGAAACCTTAAACAAAACACTTGACCTCTCTGATCCCCTGAGCCTGAATTATGACAGCACCAATTAGTTTTAGCTGTTCTTGAAGTTTATCTGTGTGGAACAATACAGTGTATATTTTCTTGTTCCCAGTTTCTTTTACTTAATATAATGTTTGTGAGATTCATCCAAGTTGTTACATGTAGCAAGTTTGTTCCATGAAATTTATGGTAGTGCATTATATATCACAAATCATCTGTCCATCCTACTCAATGGACATTTGGTTTGTTCGGTTCTTATGAACTGTGATTCTGTGATCATTTTTGTAAAATCTTGTGTATATATTCTGTTGAGTAATGTCACACACTGGGTTCCCCAGGTAGTAGCCCTGAGAGAGATTTGCTTGCAAGAAGTTTATTCCTTTCTGCCGTCAAGACCAAAGTTGTCTTTAAGATCAGTACCTATGGGGGAGCACGGAAGGGGAATAGGACACCATGAGAGAAGCTGGACTGCAGTGCAGGCATGGCAAAGGCCTCACCCAACTTATGGGGAGCTCTAGAGCTGAAATGGTCCCACAGAGTTGTGCCAGATAGGTGCAAGGAAGCTAGACCTTTATACATCCCCATTTACCAGCCATTGGGTGTGGATTGACCCAGGAAAGGAAGCATGATTTTGAGTGTGACATCTCTCTTTGGCAGAGAGTGGAGGCCATGTCTGTGAGCTGTTAGCCATCAACGTTTCTAGGAGCTGGTAGAATGAGTTTTCCAATCCTAAAAGTCCTTGTGTGTGTTGGCGGGGGGGGCAGTGAAGCAGAGCTGTACACCACAGTGTCCACTACATGTCATTAGTAATTTCTAGGAGTTGAATTGCTGGGTCATAGGATATGTGTATATTTATCTTTAGTAGATATTGTCAAACAATATTCCAACGTGCTTAGACCCAAACTCCCTCTTAATTTAGATTCTGAGATCCCCAAGTGGGATCTTACCATGAAGATAAAGGAACATTTATAGAAGGGAAACATAAATGTGAGACTATCCTCTACATTAATTCAATATTTTCTATATTATGGGGAAAGCAAAACTGAGAACCACTAGAATAGATTATTTATCATTTTCTACCTTATGGCTTTTAACATCCTGAAAAATGTCAACACTGTCCAGAATGTTTTGAAATCTAGTTATGGAATTAATAAATTCTAAAGACTTCCTTCTGTGCTGAGAAAAGAAAGGAGAAGAGATATATGAATTGACTGTTGCCTTGAATTTCATTTTTCAGAGTGGCCAAATCAATGAAGGTCCCTGTATATGAGACCCCAGCGGGATGGAGATTCTTCTCCAATCTGATGGACTCGGGACGGTGCTCTCTGTGTGGAGAAGAGAGCTTTGGCACTGGTAGGTTTTGCTGGGGTGACATCACTGGAGAGGGCAGCTGTGGCTGCAGCCCTGTGTGACCCCAGTTTGGAGACCTGTGACCCCACTGTGAACCAAAGGCTATGTATGGGGAGAGATAATTAGAGGAAAAAAAATCAGAGAAACCTGATGGGATATGTGCTATGATACACATATCTTCTGGCCATGTTTTTCTCTTTTTTTTTTTTTTTAAATCAATTTTGGGATCATATGGTAATTCTATTTTTAATTTTCTGATGAACCTGCACACTGTTGTCCGAAGTGGCTGCACCAGTTTGCATTCCCAGTAGCAGGGCATTGAGGGTTCCCCTTCCTCCACATCCTCGCCAACACCTGTTGTTTCTTGTGTTCTTGATTTTAGCCATTCTGACAGGTGTAAGGTGACATCTCATTGTGGTTTTAATTTGCATTTCCCTGATGATAGTGATGTGAGTATCCTTTCATGTGTCTGTTGGCCATCTGTATGTCTTCTTTGGGAAAATGTCTATTCAGGTCCTCTGCCCATTTTTAAATCAGATTGTTTAGGGTTTTTTGGTCTTGAGTTGCCTAAGTTCTTTATATGTTTTGGATATTAACCCCTTATCAGATATATTATTTGCAAATATCTTCTCCCATTCAGTAGGCTGCCTTTCTCATTTTGTTGATGGTTGCCTTTCCTGTGCAAAAGCTTTTTATTTTGATGTAGTCTCAATAGCTTATTTTTGCGTTTGTTTCCCTTGCATTAGGAGACATATCTAGAAAAATGTTGCTCTGACCAGTGTCAGAGCAATTACTGCCTGTTTTCTCTTCTAGGATTTTTATGGTTTCAGGTCTCACACTTAGGTCTTTAACCCATTTGGAGTTTACTTTTGTATATGGTGGGTATTTACCCTAAGAAGATGAAAACACTAATTTGAAAAGATATATGCACTTCTATGTTTACTGCAGCATTGTTTACAATAGCCAAGATATGGAAGCAACCTAAGTGTCCATTGACAGATGAATGGATAAAGAAGATGTGCGTGTGTGTGTGCGTGTGTGTGTGTGTGCGTGTGCGTGTGTGTGTGACGGAATATTACACAGCCATAAAAAGGATGAGATTGTTCCATTTGCAACAACATGGATAGACTGAGAGAGCATTATGCCAAGTGAAATGTCAGTCTGAGAAACATAAATACTATATGATTTCATTCATATGTGGAATCTAAAACACAATCGATTCTTGGCCTTTTGGCTAAGATCAAGTGTGGAATCTAAAAAACAAAACAAATGAATAAAAAAACAAAAAGCAAAATCACCAAGTGTCTATCCATAGATGAATGGGTAAAGAAAATGTGGAATATATATATATATATATACACACACATACATACAGTGGAATATTACTAAGTCATAAAAAGAATGAGATCTTCCCATCTTGCAGCATGGATGGACCCAGAGTACTGTATAATTTCATTCATATGTGGAATTTAAGAAACAAAACAAATGAATAAAGAAAAAAAGAGACAAAAAAACTAGACTCTAATACAAAGGAAAAACTGGTGGTTGCCAGAGGGGAAGGGGATGTAGAGGGATGGGCAAAGTAAGTGAAGGGGAGTGGAGGATTCAGGCTTCCAGTTATAGAATGAATAAGTCATGGAAATGAAAGGCACAGCATAGGAAATATAGTCAGTAGTATTGTGATGGTGTTGTATGGTGACAGATTCTGTCTACACTTGTGGTGAGCATAGCATAACGTATAGAGAAGTTGAATCACTATGTGTATACCTGAAACTAATGTAGCATTGTGTGTCAACTGTACTCAAATAAAAAATATTTAAAAATTTCCATTTCTTTACAAAATTTTCTCTTATGGCAATTCAAAAAATTGTATGAGAGTAGAGAGAATATCATTGAATTCCCACCTGCTTATCACCTAGTTTCAGTCATCGTCAACTCATGGTCAATCTTGCTTTATCTCTACCTTCATCTACAAGGTGAGCTCTCCTCTACGGTTAGTGTGATACAATCCCTAGTGTGAATCTTTAAGTATAAAGGCTGTTGAGAAAAAATATGTAATACCACAGTACTATTATCACATCTAAGATGTTAAAAATTCATTTCTTTTTTTCAGTATTTTGAAGATGTTACTTCATTGTCTTCTGGCTTGCATACTTTCCAAGAAGGGTGCTTCAGTTCTTGTCTCTGTTGCTCTATGTTTAAACTCTTCCCAACCACTACCTCTGGCTGCCCTCAATATTTTCTTTTTATGTTTTGTTTTCAATAGTTTAACTATAATATATCTAGGTATTTTTTTTAACCTTGCTTGGGGTTTGAGGGATTCTTGGATCTATTGCTTATTGTCTTTCATTAATTTTAGAAAATTCTCAGTCATTATCTTTTTAAATATTTCTCCTTCCCAATTCTCTCTCTCTTCTTCTGAGATTCTGATTACACATGTGTTAGATGATTTGTGACCATAATGTTGTCTCAGAGCTCTTTACACATACTGTTTGGTTTTGCTTTTTTTTTTTTCTTTTGTGTTTCAGTTTAGGTAGTTTCTATTGTCATTATCTTTTAGTCATTGATTCTTTCCTTAGCTGTGTCCAGTCTTCTGATGAGCCTAGTGAAGGAATTCTTCATCCCTGATATTGTTTTTTATTTCCAACATTTCTCTTTGACTCTATAATTTTCATCTTGGTGAGAAAATTCCCCATCTGTTTAATATGTTGCTTACCTTTTCCATTAGATCATTTAACATATCAAACATAGTTATTCCAAACTCCCTGTCTGTTATTTCTAATATCTGATTTCTCTCTGAACCCGGTGTCTCTTTATCGAGAGATAAAGCAATGGTTTAGTCTTTCTTGCTTTTTGTGTATCTCATAATTTATCAGTGAATACTGGACAGAATGTATATAAGAACAGTAGAGACTCAGGTAAACAATATTTATTTTTTATTTTTGTTCAAGTAAAAACTATTTATACACGGAAATGGGCATACCTCTTCTTTTTTCAGGCCATTACTATGCAAGGTTAAATTAATCTAATCAGGAGTTGAGCTGGGTTTGGATTTTATTGTTTCTATTATAATTTTTAGTGTTGCATAGGGTTCAAATTCTTCCAGAAGTGGGATATTTTTACTGTGTGCCAAAAGCAAAGATGGGGTGTTGGAGGACATTTTTCAGTGTATCTGTTTCATTTGCAGCTTTCAACAGTGCCCGCATGTCTGTGATACAAGATAGACCTCCGTTGTCAGGTGCTTGACCCTTCTCTAGTGGCAGCAGATCTCTGCTTAGTATTGGAGTAAGATGCTGGGTCCAAAAAGTTTTCCTACCTTTTCTCCCAAGGGCAGAGGGTTTTCACTTCAATCCCTATTCCAGTAACAGTGGATTTTTGCATGGGTTCTTGGGATGAGAAAGTTTGCAACTCATATATCCAAAAGTTTAAGGCTTTTGTTTCCTATAAAAGAAAGGTTTGGAGACCTGGAAGGGCTTCATGCTTGTCTCTCAGCCGCATGCCAACATTATTAGGTCTGCTTCTCTGTCTCCCATCTTTTTTGTGAGCACCCAGGGAAGGTTTGTGGGAAATAACTTGGAAATGTGTCCCTTGTATCTGGGACTCCTAGCAATTTTAAACCAACATGATAGGCTCTTCTTGGCCTTTAAGCATTTTTGAAACTCTTAAGTGACTTCTTATTTTTCACTTTTATAGAAGCATTCTCTTTTTTCTGCGATCTGCCAAAGGAGAGATGGTTTTGTGTCCTGTTTCTTCTTGAAGGGGCTTGTCACCTTTTGGGAATCACTTACTTTATTGCCTTATGACCTCATATTTCTAATGAGTTCAAGAAAAGTTATGATTTTGTAGGTTCCTGGCCTTTTCTTATTACTGGGGTAGGAGTGACAATCTCTTATAGATGTCCACATCCTAAACGGAAATGCAGAAGTGGAGCTCCAAAAGTAATTTCTTAATAATTTCTCCTATTCTTGCCCTTCCTTAATAGTTTTTTTTCCGATTGGGATCCAACAGATCTTACTTTATAACTGGTTGATACCTCTTTTTTTGTTGTTGTTAATTTTTTTCTTTTTTTATTATTATGTTAATCACCATACATTACATCATTAGTTTCTGATGTAGTCTTCCATGAGTCATTGTTTGTGCATAACACCCAGTGCTCCACGCAGAATGTGCCCTCTTTAAACCCATCACCAGGCTAACACATCCCCCCACCACCCTCCCCTCTAGAACCCTCAGTTTGTTTTTCAGAGTCCATCATCTCTCATGGTTCGTCTCCCCCTCTGACTTACTCCA